CCGAAGGCAGGCGGAGGCATGCTGAGGAGTCCGCGACGTCGGATGCTCGCTCGGCGAGGCCCGAGCGGAGCAGAGAAAGGCAGACAAAGGCCTCTGACCAAGGGGTATCTCGGCTCGCTCGTGAGATTGCCAAGCTCAAGCGCCGAGTGGAGACCAGGGCTCCCTACAGCCAGCCCATCTTGCGGACGGTAACCCCGTTCACTCCGAGGGTAATGTCGGTTCCGCTGCCGGCAAACTTTCGGCCGTGGCAGATCAAGGCCTACAACGGAACGACGGACCCCCAAGATCATTTGTCTAAGTTCTATGCTTCTATGGAAGCGGCGACAGCCCCGGACGAGGTCAAGTGCCGAAGCTTTCTCGCGACGCTAGAGGGCTCCGCGTGCGATTGGTTCAACCGGCTCCCAAAGGGAACCATTGACGATTGGGATACGCTAGCGGAGAAGTTCTTGACGCATTTTGCAGCCAACCGAAGGCAGAGGCTACCTTACTCCCACCTGCTCAACATCTGCATCCGTAAAGGAGAGAAGATCCGCGACTTCATAACCCGGTGGGAGAAGGAAGCCAGAGACGTGCACAAGGCGGATGACCAAGATTTGGTGGCCATGTTCCAAGCAGCCCTTCCCCGCGGGGAGGTGAGGAAGGAGCTCCGCAAGAATCCTCCCCCACGTACCAAGAAACCTTGGCGCGCGCTAAGTTCTTGGCCTCGGAGGAATTCGATGATGCCCCCGACTCCGAGGACGTGCCGGCCAAGCGAGCCCCCACAGATTCAGAGGAGATAGCGAAGAAGAGGAAGAAGAAGAAAGGCTACACTGTGGGCCCGAGGACGCCCTCGGCGGGTGTGTATTTCGTGGGTGCGTCCGTAGGGACGGGTCGAGAGCTGGCCCTCTCCCCGCTCCCGCACGTAGAGACCTATGCGGTGTCCAGCGGCGCCAAGTATTGCGAGTATCATCGCAACAACACTCATAATACTAAGGAATGCTTCACTCTTCAGAAGGAGATGCAGCGACTCATCGCCCGAGGGCCGGCTCCGCAAGACAATGGAGCAGCCCCTTCCCGGGGCCCACCAGAAGGGAGAACGTGGAGGAAGCCGACCGAGCCGGTCGCGGTGGCCACGCAAGCGAGGAACCCCGAGAAGAGGCACATTGGGCGAGAGTGTGATGATCTAGACGAGGACGAAGCCCAAGGATATCCGGTGGGGTTCATCCATGGAGGAAATATCGGCGGGGATTCCGCCGCTCAAAGGAAGAAGTGGAAGCACATGGCCTTCGTCGCCATGGTCCAACAGGCGCCGGCGCCCAAGCTCGGAAGACGAGAGCAAATCCAATTCACGGAGAAGGATCTTCCGAACATGCCGAGCCCCCACCGGGATGCCTTAGTCGTGAGGATAGAAATCAACAACGCCATAGTGCACCGCACCTTGGTGGACACGGGAAGCTCAAGCAACATAATGTATGAGAAGACCTTTCAAGACCTCGGCTTGGACCGCAAGGACTTGAGGCCCGTGCGCACTCCTCTCTCCGGGTTCACAGGGGACTCCATCGAGCCCGAAGGAGTCATCACCGTGCCCGTGATAGTAGGGGATGGTGCGCACAAGGCCAAGCTGAAGATGGAGTTCATGGTTGTGAGCATCAGCTGCGCGCACAACATGATCCTAGGACGGCCCGGCCTCGAGGACTTGGAATGTGTGATCTCCCCATACTACTTGTGCATGAAGTTCCCCACTCCTTTGGGAATCAGGGTGGCGAGGGGAGACCAAAATTTAGCTCGATCGTGCTATGTCTGAATCACATAGAAGTTGCCGAGGGATGAGACGTTGGTCGTGCACGCACAAGAAGAAATGCGGAAGCTGGAAGCACGACCGAAGGCCGAGCCCGCTGAGGAGGTCGAGGAGGTGCTGCTCGACCCTTGGAGCAAGCTCTTTGCGCCCGTCCTCGGGAAGAGCATGGAAGCGTACATCGACGACATGATTGTGAAGAGCAAGCAGGCGACCACCCACGCGGAAGACTTAGAGGGAGTTTTCAAGATTATGGAGAAGTAGAACCTTCGGCTGAATCCGAAGAAGTGCACGTATGGAGTTCAAGCCGGCAAATTCTTGGGACATATGGTGAGCAGGCGCGGTATTGAGCCCAACCCTGAGAAGGTGCGCGCCATCCTTGACATGGAAGCTCCACGAAATGTCAAGGAGGTGCAGCGCTTGACCGGTAAGTTGGCTGCGCTCAGTCGCTTCCTTTCCAAGGTAGCGGACCGAACCGCTCCATTCTTCCGAGCTGTGAAGAAGTCCCGAGGGTTCGTGTGGACGAAAGAATGCCAACAATCCTTTGAATCCCTCAAGTCCTACCTCCTCTCTCCTCCGGTTCTCGCGAAGCCCGAAGCGGGGGAGACGTTGTACTTATACTTGGGTGTGTCACCCAAAGCTTTGAGCTCGGTCCTAGTCCGAGACGAAGGTGGAGCTCAGTAGCCGAAAAGACGGTCCTCGCCGTGGTTTCAATCGTGCAGCGTCTAACACCCTACTTCCAAGCTCACCCGGTTCAAGTGCTCTCCCAACAGCCCATTGGTGCGCTGCTCAGGAGCCCGAACGCGCCCTCGCGCATGTCCAAGTGGGCGGTGTTCCTTGGAGCTTTCCAGATTGAATTCAAGCCAAGGCCGGCGATTAAGGGCCAAGCGCTAGCGGACTTCATGGTAGAGTGCACCGCTTGGGAGGAGCCGAGCCCGGAAGAGCCGGAAGCTGATGAATGGTGGATAGTTTTTACCGACGGCTCCTCCGCCGCCAAAAACTCGGGGGGTGGAGTGGTAGTCATCGCTCCCGAAGGCTTCAGAGCATACTACTCAATTCGATTTGGTTTCAAGGCATCAAACAATGAAGTGGAATATGAAGCGCTCTTGTCGAAGCTGAGCTCGGACACGCCCGAGCATATCAGGCGAATGGCGAACGTGGAAGAGTTGTCCGAGCCGAGCATCCATGCCTCCACTGTGGCAATGATCTATCGCTTGTCCAAGAGATTGGATGGACGATATAGTCGCCTTCCGCCCTCCCGGATGATGAAAAAAAAGGCCAAGCTGGTCCGGACTAGGGCACCCGGATACACTTTGGAGGGCGGAAACTATACAAGCGAGCGTACATCTTTTCGGTTGAACTCAATGGAATGAAGTTTTTGCGAAAAGAGCTCGCTTGAACACTCGTGCTCGGCGCTCCTACTCAGGAGGAGGGTCAAGCGCAGACCATACCCGGATGTTCTTCCCGGA